CCTTTTGACGCCCTTCGTCACAATCATGGACCCCAATGTGACCTTCAAGCGTGCATCCACCAAGATCACCCTATAGCTTGCTGCCTCCAATGTCCTAAGTGAAATGATGTTCTTCTTCAGTTGAGGAACGAACCTCACTTCAACCAACTCCCGAATCATCCCGTCACTCATCCAAATCCGAACAATATCGATACCACCAATATGGCATTTGTGATCATTACCTATAAGCACAACATCTCCTCTTTCCAACTCCTGAAAGCTGAAAAACCAATCCCTCCTAGGGCATATGTGATAAGTAGCATCTGAATCCAACATCCACTCGGTGGAGTCGGCAACACCAACTAACGGAAGAACTGGACACGAATAGCCCGAAGAATCCGAATCTAAAATGTCGCCAATAGCCTTGGCAACATTCAACTCTGAAGTTTGAATAGCTTTCCCCTTATTCTTCACAGCTTGCAATTTTGGGCATTCAGTTTTCCGATGTCCATCCTCTCTACAAAATACATACTGATTCCTACAAATTGCAGGATGTGCCCCTCTAGACTGCGACCTTCTATTATGGTTTGGACTCTTAGATCTTGCGACCGATGCCCCCGCTACCGGCTCAATGGAAGTCCCCTTGTCCTTCTTACGAAATTGATAATTCACAAGTGCCGCGGTGACATCACTATACGAAAGAGATACATTCCCATTAATAAGAGTAAGGACGAATGTTTCATATTCCTCGTCGGGCAAGAAACTTAATAATAGTAACGTCTTGTCCTTATCTTCAACCATGACATCTACATTCACCAAATCTGCAAGAAGCTTCGTATAGTGGTTCATGTGATCACTAATGGATATCCCCTTCAATTGGAAGCGATAAAGCCTCCTCTTTAAATACAAGTGATTTTCGATGCTCTTCGTCAAATACTTGCCCTCTAGGACCTCCCAAATCTTCTTTGCCGAAGCCTTATTCATCACATCATATTTTAGATCTTGAGTAAGACAAAACATAATCACACCACACGCCGTTCTATTCATTTTCTTCCAAACCTTCTTATCAATGTCGTCCGGTTTCCCGTCCAACTCCAACGTTTCTTCCAAATTTTGCGCATCCAAGACTTCGCCTCTCCAAAGTCCAAAATTATTTGTGCCATAGAACTTTTTCACATCTATCTTTATAGAATGGATACTCAAACTTTGGACGGTCTTCACACTAGAAGAACCCTCTCCACTTTTATCTTTCCCAGTCATATATCTCAAAGCACCCAATAACAATTGCGGAACAAACAAGAAATAGATCCAACTTGAAAAGATAGAAACTTTACCATAAAGATCTCACCTTTAACACCAATCGAAGCTCTAGATGAACTTCCCAACCGATCTACTCCTTCAAAAAAGCCTAAGTGTTGCCCGGAGCTCTGATACCACTTGTTGGAAAACCCCGATGTCGAGATCCAATACCAAATAGCCGAGAGAGAAGAGCAAACACACCAAATCAATGCCACAAACAAGATACACTAGTTTTAACGTGGTTCGACAAATGCCTACGTCCACGGGGCAAGGAAGGGGGGGAGGTTTCACTATTAGAAATCAAGGGGATACAACTAGGGTTGCAAATCTCACCAAAACCCGCAACAAATCACTCTTGATCTCTCCCAAATGCTCCAACAATAGAAGCCCACAAAACCCCTCTCAATGGCTGCTAAAACCCTCTTGCCTCAACCCTAAAAATGAGTTAAGGGTATATATACAATTCCCAAACGAAACGGATCTGAAAACCCAACCCAACCCAAAACCGCTTCGGCGGTAGACCGTGACGGTCGACCGCGCATGTATC